TGGAATGTCCAAGGTATGCGGCCAAAATGTTGGTGTGCCCAAGGCTTTAATACACCCTCCAGAATATTTTCGCGATAATATTCGGCATTTATTCTAATGCCACGGTCGATTAAGACGAGCGCAGAGCGACCATCGGCTGTAATGGGGGCCCACACCATCACCCTGGCCGGCGCTTGAGTTCTGGTGGCCAATCGAAGGTGCATATTTTCAGCAGACCTCTTTGGCAAGTAAACACGATAATTTTGTTTGTTTACAAACTGCTTGGCAATGAATGTTTTCTCGTTGGAAAAAACTAAATTCGGCAGTTTACCGCTTTCAGCCAAGCGCAGCAACTCTTTTACTCTTTTGTGTCTATTTTCTTTCCGTTGCGGTGTAAGTTCTAGCACTTTTTGGAATTTCAATGGCTTTACCCCGAGTTCATTTTTCAATATTTGCCAAATGAAATATTGCGATATGTTTAACTCACGAGCCATTTTTCGGCCACTGAGACTCGGGTTTCGATCAAGTCGCTTCTTTTCTTTTCGATCCATTTCTGCTGATGTTGCTGTTTTCTTCCGCCCACTTCCACTTCCGTCCTTGACGTCGGGCTACGTTACCAGTATTACGGTAACGAGCGATGGTACTAGACACAAAACATTTATTCACATTTAAATGCTGGAGTGCTCTAACGATAGCCACCTGTGATTTCCAGCCAAATATGAAGAAATCACACTATCACGCTTGAATTCCATAACGAATAACTATTTTTCTGGAAAATTCTCACCAAAAATTCTCTTTTGTACCCTTGTAAACAATATAATGAACTGTCACTGCAATAATTTTAACAGCTGTCGGACGAGTGGCTTAGAAATGACAGCAGTCTGAAGTTTGTTGCAGTTTTTTCACCTCAACCTGTATATGTTTATAAGATGAATCCTGCAGCAAAATTACCAATACTTGAAAAAATATTTTTTTTTTCCGCAGAGAATAAAATCCCTTTCTTTCTTAACATAGTTTTTCCAGAGAGCCTCAAATCTTTCTGCTGCTCTCACAAGCTTTATAATCCCAGCCCTTTCTTTCAGAGTTCTTGTCAAACAAAATATAGCCTAAATTATATTCCTTCACATCGAACCTATTCAATTTCGATTTAAATTTCTTTTGATACACCTTTACTAAGTGGAACATTGCTATTCCTGCCGATTTTGTAGTTTCCTTAAAGTTAGGTTTTAAATGTAACCTTATTCCCCAGACCAGGACCTCCTGCTCCTTTTAAATTCACCTTTTCCTCCTACATATCCCCCAGCTCCTTTTTATTAAAATATTTTCCTGTGATATTTTTCAAAAAGCGAACCTTTCAATTTTGCGGCCACCAGCCCTACAACATTTGCATCATAATTTCTCCCCGAAAATAAATTTTTCCAATTTTCAAGTACTTATGAATAAACTTTTTCCACACTTTACCGACTTGAACGACGTCTTGGCTTGAAGAGAGGAACAGAAAATTATGGCAAATCAAGGCATGATTTGTGTGTAAACAAACAAAGAAAATCAACGTTAAACTAACAACAGAAGCGATTTTTCCAAACTATGTAGTTTTTCTCTCTTTCCTTTTCTTTGTGAAACTACAATAAGCAATTTGTGTGATTTGTAGAGGTCTGACTGCCAATTTTGTCCTGGTCTTCTCTTCTCATATAACAAAATAACGATTTTTATGCTAATCAGTGCAAAGATTCAAGTGGAATAGTTTTTAAGTTGTTCGATGGATGAATTTTTCCATTGATTTGATGGGTAATTTCTAATCATAGTTTTTAAAACTTTGAGTTGAGGCTAATGGTGGGCATACTTGACCGAATAAACTCAATAGGCCTGAATTAGAATTAATCACTCGTAAGAAGTGGAAGTTTACATTTGTTAAAATAGAAATTACCTAGACTTGGACTTATTTACCAAAAATGCGGCTTATAATTTTAATTTCATATCCTTCATGCGAAAGGATAAACAACAACAAAAACCTAAAATTTGAGTCAATATTAACCCAAAGTCATTGAAATTTATATCTTCGGTGGTAATAATTCTCATATATATTTTTATACCCCTCACCACATAGTGGTAAGGGTAATATGTCTTTGTGCATTTCTTTGTAGCATGGTGAAGGAAGCGAAATGGACCCATAGTTACTTTTGAGGATATTCGTAAAATAACTCTCTGAGTCGATTTATGTATGTCAGTCCGTCCATCCTTATATTTTTGTGAACAAAATGCAGGTCGCATTAAATATCCGATTAAAATGAAATTTTCCAAACAATATTTGTTTGGCCCAAGAACTAACCCTATTGAACTTGGTGATATATACATTTTCATCCGATTTCGGGTTAATTGTGCACCCAATGGCCAATATCTGTCCAAATAACCTGAAATTTTTCACATCCGACAGAATGCAGTCTAGAATCAAGTATATCCAACTTGGAGAAAATCGGTTCAGATATAGCTATAGCTCCCATATATATTTTCTATCCGATTTGGGGTTTTAAGTCCCTCACATGCATTATATGCACCCCACACGAATGATGATTGGTATCAGACATTAGATACAGCCCGGAAATGCCGCTACCAATTGGATCAAGATCGGTTCAGATTTAGATAAAGTTCCATATATATCATCATTCGATTTCGGGCTAATTGAGTACCTAATGGCCAATATCAGTCCAAATTTGGCACTTCCGATGGAATTAAGCCAGAAGCAAGTACTTAAAATTTTGGTGAAAATCGATTCAGATATAGCTAGAGTCCCATATATATGTTTTATCCGATTTGGGGTTTTAAGTCCTTCACATGCGTTATATGCACTTCGCAACAAGGATATTTGATATCGAAAATCAGATTTAGCTCGACAATACCTCTGCCAAATTTCATCGAGATCGGTTAAGATTTCTACATACCTTCGATATACATCTTCATCCAATTTTAGGTCATTGTCTACCATATACAGGGTGAGATAAAAAAACTGCAACCAATTTCAGACTGTTGTCATTTCTAAACCACTCCTCCGACAGCAGTTAAAATTATTCCAGTGACAGATCATTATATTGCAGTGGCCAAAAAATGGGTTAAAGCCATTGAAATTCCAAAAAGTGCAAGAACTTACACCGCAACAGAAAGAAAATAGACTCAAAAGAGGTAAAGAATTGCTTCGCTTGGCCGAAAGTGGTGAAATGCCGAATTTGGTTTTCTCCGATGGGAAAACATTCGTTGTCCAGCAGTTTGTAAACAAACGAAATGATCGTGTTCACTTGCCAAAGAGGTCAGCTGAAAAGGTGCACCTTCGGTTGGCCACCAGAACTCAAGCTCTCCGCTCGTTGCATCAAAATAAATGCCGAATATATAAATGCCGCGAAAATATTCTAGAGGGTGTATTAAAGCCTTGGGCACGCAAATATTTTGGCCGCAGACCTTGGACATTCCAACAGGACTCAGCACCATCGCACTCAGCACGCGCCACCCTAGAATGGTTACTGAGGATCCTCGCTTCATTTCCAGCGCCAATGGCCACCAAAATCTCCGGATACCAATCAGTTGGACTATTGTGTCTGGAGTATTTTGGAAAGCAAGGTTGGCACTAAAAAATACCAAAGTGTCGATCACCTCAAACAAGCGCTTCACCAGGAATGAGCCACAATACCGCAGAGCAACACTCGGGCAGCGTGTGACGCTTTCATTGGCCCATTCCCGATGAAGCGTTTGCTTGAGGTGATCGACACTTTGGTATTTTTTAATTCGTGCCAAAGGTGACCAATTCGAACAAATCTAAACCTATTCTAAAATTTGATGCTATCTCCGACATTTTTGCTTTCATTATTAGAATTTAAAAATTATGGCATTTGACTTTGATTCAGTTTTTTTTATCTCACTCTGTATATGTATCATCCTATTTGGAGGATAAGTCCCTCACATGCATAATATACATTCCACATGAATAATATGTGATACCAGATATCAGAATAACCCCAGAAATACCCCTGTAAAATTTTATCGAGATGGGATCCGATTAAGATATAGCTCCCATATATATCTTTATCCGATTTCAGGTTTATTGTGCACCAAATGGCTTATATCAGCCCAAATGTCCTGAATTTTCGTACATCCTAGTCTAGAAACACAAATATCAAATTCGGAGAGAATCGGTTCAGATATAGCTATAGCTCCCATGTATATGTTTCATCCGGTTTCGAGGTCAAATCTCTCACATTCGTAATATGCACTCTACAACAATGATCTTTGGTGCCAAGTATTACATGCAGCTCGGAAATAACTGCCTAAAATTGTGTCAAGATCGGTTCAGATTTGGTTATAGCTCCAATATATATCTTTATCCGATTTCAGGTTTATTGTACACCAAATGGCTTATATCAGCCCAAATGGACTGAATTTTGACACTTCCGATGGAATTCAGCCCAGAAGCAAGTAATTGAAACTTTGGTAACAATCGGTTCAGATATAGCTATAACTCCTATACATATGTTTCATCCGATTTGGTGTTTAAATCCCTCACATACGAAATATGCTCTCCACAACAATGACATTTGATACCGAGCAGATTTTCAGATTTTTATATACCTCCGATATACATTTTCATCCCAATTTACGGCTATTGATATGTAATGTCAGCCCAAATTAAATAGATTTTTTTCAAATTCAACCGAATTTTACCATTTGGTGAGATTCGGTCCGATATATCTATTGCTCTAAGAAATATTATTTTGATATAATTCTTATCGAAGTCATACTTGACGTACAAAAGCCTCCGTCAAATTTGTTGAAAATCGATTCAGATTTGGATATAGTTCCCAAATTGTGACTACTCTAAATCCATGATACGCATTCAAATGAGGTAAATAGTTGGTATGATCTACTTCACATAAATTCCATATATAAATTTTTTTTGTTACTCGAGCTCTACTAAGTACGCATAATGGTGTAGGTTATTATATAGTCGGCCCCGCCCGACTTTTGACCTTTCCCTACTGGTTTTTATTCAAATTTATTTTCATTAATTTAATACAAAAAATTATTTATATTTCACCAAGTGGGTTACCCAACCAGGGATAGATTTCGGGACATTTATCGCACACGGTCATGTAGCGCATTTCACCATTAGTTTTGGCCAGGGCACAGGTGACGGGCTTACAGCTACTTTGGGGTTTTTTGAAGCAACCCCTAAACGGTTTGCCCAAATTGGGATGTTTCATGTACTGGATCACAGCCGAGGGAGTGGTGATGTAGACATCGGGCAAGGAGTTGGCATATTCCAAAAATCTGTGGATTAAAACAGGAAAATTCTTTTATATTTAATTTAAAATATCTATATTTTGGACTTACTTCCTGAAAGCCTTCAAATAATTCGGGCTGCGACCAAACCATGCAGCATGCAAATACATGCCAAATGGCGCCCGATTGTTGTCATAATGCCGATGGAAATTTCCCTTCATCCACTCGAATAGGCTCTGTACATTATCGGGTGGCAAAAATATGCAACCATCCAACATGGAACAACTATAGCCCTCATTATCCACCCATGACACCATGGGATTTTCCCACAGGCCAGGCAATGATACTGTCGGACACGGTGGTATCTGACAGTCCTGCAGCGACAAATAATCCAAAGTATAAGGCCACATGGCCGGATTACGATATTGTTGGGTGGGCCAAGAGCTATCGTAGAGTAGACCCAAACGTTTGGCAGCAATGAAGGAGTTATTGCCAGATATCTGTAAAAATGGTAAACGCATTCCCCGAATGTGACGTCGATCAATTTTGGCAAAGGTTTCCAGAATATCGATTTGTTGACCAAATTCTTGCATCAAAAGCTCAACATCGGCATTACGCCAATAATCGGTACCCGCACCATGGGTAATCGAGTGCAAAGCGATTTCATGACCTTCATTGTAGAGGGCATTCACTTTGCTGTAGTCGGTGTACTCATGGGATACATAAAAACAGCCACGGACCTCACAGTTATCCGGGTTTTTCAAATTGCCAAATAGCTCCTGATATTGTTCATAATTCAAGGCGGTCACAGCATCGTCGAAGGTAACTGTAATGAACTGAGGAAAAGAATTAAATGAAAGAACCAAGACAAAAATTTCAGAAAAAATCTTTTGTTATCAGAAAATCTTAGAAAACTAAGAAGAAGAATTACAGTACGCGACAATTTTTTTTTTTCAATTATTACAGTGAATATCTAGCAGATTATACCCATTGAGCTTAAAATAGACGACACTTGTATCGCCTTTTTGAATGTTTACGTCTCAAAGTAACCTAAATAGAAGGGAGAAAGTTCCCCACTCTTCAGCATTTTTTTGAAATTTTAGAATTACGATTCCTTGTAATTCGATAATTTTAGGTATATACACTATATAGGTATATAGTGTCTTCGGCAATATTGCAGACAAAAACACAAGGATTATCTTCATCTCTAATTTTAATCCTGGTCACCTAAGGTCCAAATTCCACTTAAAATCACCCAAATTCCACTCAAAAACTACCTTAAAAACTACCCTTAAGAACTCCTTTTAAACGGGATATTAGCAAGTTAAAATATTCTACAAAATTATTCGGCATAAAATTGTACGATAGGTCCTAAAAGACATCGAAAGTCTAAATCTTACCTAAACGCGGTGGAATTCATATTTCTTAATAACACATTTTAGGGTTAAAATTTGTGTAAGTTTATGCAAAAATCACCAACAAGGCCTCATTTTACAAGCCAGGGGGAAATACAAAAATGTTCCTCATTAAATTTCACTATAATTCACTGAAGAAAGAAATCTCTATTTCCACTCTATATCAAGAAACCAGTAAGGAAAGCTCAAAAGTCGGGCGGGGCCGACTATATGATACCCTACACCACTATGCATATTTAGTAGAGCTCTCGTAAAAAGGTTTATACAGGGCATATCAGAGCTGTATGAGATATTTGGTACAAAATCAAAATCTATCTAATTCTATCGTGCATTTTACGAACTATAGCTATCTCTGAACCGGGTTTCTTCAAATTTTACGTACTAGCTTCTAGACTAAATTCGGTCTTATGTACGAAAATTCAGGTGATTTGTGCTGATGTTGACCATTTAGTGCACATTTAACCCGAAATCGGATGAAGATATTTATGGGAGCTATATCCAAATCTGAACCGATTTCGATAAAATTTAAAACAGCTATTCCTGTGCTCCATCTAATACATGGTACCAAATATCACGGTTGTGGAGTGAATATTACGAATGTATGGGACTAAAACACTAAATCGGATGAAACATATATATGGTTGCTATATCTATATCTGAACCGATTTTCACTAAATTTGCTTCTAGGCTGAATTTGGTCCGACGTACTAAAATTCAGTCCATTTGGACTTATATCGGCCATTTGGTGCACAATTAACCCGAAATCGGATGAAGATATATATGGGAGCTATATCCAAATCTGAACCGATTTCGATAAAATTACAAACAGCTATTTCTGGGCTGTATCTTATATCTGGTACCAAATATCATTCTTGTGGAGTTCATATTACGAATGTGAGATGCTTAAACACCAAATCGGATAAAACATATATATGGGAGCTATAGCTGATTCTGAACCGATTTTCTCCAAATTTGTTGTATTTGCTTTAAGGCTAATCTCGGTCACATGTGCCAAAACTCGGGCCATTTGGGCTGATATTGGCCATTTGGTGGTCAATTAACCCGAAATCGGATGAAGATATATATGGGAGCTATATCCAAATCTGAACCGATTTCGATAAAATTTAAAACAGCTATTTCTGTGCTTCATCTAATACCTGGTACCAAATATCACGGTTGTGGAGTGCATAGTAGGAATGTGAGGGACTTAAAGATCAAATCGGATGAAAGATATATATGGGAGCTATAGCTATATCTGAACCGATTTTCTCCAAATTTGATATACTTGCTTCAAGGCCGATCTCGGTTGGGTGTGCCAAAATTAAGGTAATTTGGACTGATAGTGGACATTTGGTGCACATTTAACCCGAAATCGGATGAAGATATATATGGGAGCTATATCTAAATTTGATCCGATTCTCACCAATTTCAATAGGGTTCGTCCTTGGCCCAAAAAAATATTGTTTGGAAAATTTCATCTCAATCGGATAATAAATGCGACCTGCATTTTGTTCACAAGAATACATGGACAGACGGACGGACGGACAGGCGGACTGACATGCATAAATCGACTTAGAAAGTGATTCTATGAAGGTTCTCAAAAGTAACTATGGGTCTATCTCGTTTCCTTCTCCATGCTACAAACAAATGCACGAAGACATAATACCCTTACCACTATGTGGTGTAGGGTATAATTACCACTATGTGGTGTAGGGTATAAAAATTTGAAAAAAAGGACGAAAATATTTCCTATTTTTTTTTCTCAGACTTTTTTCGAATTTACGTCGGAAAGTAACATAAAAATTCTTTTTTGACAAAAAGTGTCAGAAGAATAAATATTCTACACAAAATTTCACAATAAATCTCAGAATAAATTTTATATCTAGGTTTCACAGTTTCTAAGAAAACTGCATTCGAAATTTATAAATAACAAGTGAAAATTGTGTTTTATGCTTTTTTTCTGCTAATTTTGTCACTTTTCCATTCTAAGTCAAAAGCTCCCTTAATGCTGCTGTTTTTGGGAAAAGTGTCAAAGGACAAAATATTCGAGATAAATTTCATTGTGAGTGTCGGAACAAAAAAAATTGTAACTTTAATATTTACCATAAAAATATCAAATTTAGCACTTTTTCCGATTTCATTGAAAAATTTCTTCTAATTTAGTTATAAGATTTTTTTTTTTAAATCTTGTGCTGAATCTTTGTTCTCTTGACACTTTTTGCCTATTTTTATGTTACTCTCAGGCGTCCACTCGAAAGAAGTCTAAGGAATTTTTTTTTTTCAAAAAATTGTCTTGATTTACAATTTTGGTTGATATACAGGTTTTAGAAAATTCCTATAACTATATTCGGTGATAACCCACAATAGTCTAATAACAAGTAAAAAACAGGTAAGTTCGTGCCAAATTATTATACATTTTGAAAAAAATTGATAATTTTCAAAAAGAACAAACAAGTAAAAAAACAAGAACTTTGAATACCCTCCACCATTTAGAACGAATTTGGCAATTTTCAAAAAATAAAACCCTTAAAAAATTCTTATAAAATATATATTACAAATATAATCTTATATTAGGGTCTATGCGACAACGTGGACCTGCATAGGTAACTTTTGCCATAAGCCATTACAATATTCAAATGCGAAATTGGAAAAAATTCGAATAATTTAGCTAAAATCATCAAAATACCGATTATCGGGAGGTACCGTTATATGGGGGCTATACCAAGAGGTGGACCTGCACAGACAATTTTCTGTCATAGGCTGTAGTATTCGTTACGAACTTCAAATACGTAATTTGAAACTATTTCGGTGAATAATGACGCTAAAATGATCAAAATACCGAATATAGGGAGGTACCGTTATATGGGGGCTATACTAAGGCGTAGACCTGCAAAAACAATTTTTTATCTTAGGCTGTAGTATCCATTACAAACTTCAAATACCAAATTTGAAACATTTCCGGTAAATAATGTCGCTTAAATCACCAAAATACCGAAAAAAGGGAGGTACCAATATATGGGGGCCATACCAAAACGTGGACCTACATGACCCGTTTTCAATACCAAAAGTCCTACAGACAAAATACGCATTTGAGTAAAATTTTATCAACCTACTTCATTTCGTTCGGAAGCTAGAAAAATTTCCACAGAGCGACAGACGGACGGACAACACTTAATCGACATAGAATTTTATGCTGATCAAGAATGTATATACTTTGCCGGGTCTGACATAAGTATTTCGAGGAGTTACAAGCGGAATGAAAAAGTTAATATATCCTCCATAATATTGTAGGAAGTATAAAAATATTATTTAAAAAATTATGATTAGCATTAAAAACAAATATTATTTAAAATCCACGATTATAAAATTAAAATATATATATTTTATTTTAAAATCCAAAAAAAATATATTAATCGTATTTTAAAAAATAAGATTTAAAAATATAACATTTATTTAAAAAAAGTATTGTTAAAAAATCACAATTAACATTAAAAAATATTATTTGAAATTCCACGATTGATATTTAAAAAATATTATATAAAAATCTACTATTATTATTAGAAAAATTATTATTTATAAATCCACGAGTTTTATAAGAAAAACTATTAATTGTAAATCCACGATTATAATTAAAAAATATTATTTAAAAATTCACGATTATTATTAAAAATGTTATGTAACAATCCACGATAATTATTAAAAAAAATTATTATTTAAAAAAATTACGATGAATATTAAAAAACTATTATTTTAAAAATCCACGATTATATAAAAAATATTATTTAAAAATCCACTATAAATATCAAAAAAATATTATTTAAAAATCCACGATTAATATCAACAAAAAATATTACTTAAAAATCCACGATTAATATTAACAAAATATTAATTAAAAATCCACGATTAAACTCAAAAAAAAAAAAATATTAAAAGTATTACATTATAATATTATTTAAAAATTCAATTTAAATTTATATTAAAAAATATTATTTGAGAATCCACGATTAATACTAAACGAAATATCTAAAAATCCACGATAAATTAAAACAATATTATTTAAAATTCACGATTAATATTAAAATATATAATTAAAAAATCCGGGATTAATATAAAACAAGTAAGCAAAGGCTACAGTCGTGCGGGGCCGACCGTTGAATACCCTACAACACTATGATAAACGATACAGTTTATATAAGCGAGATACTCAAAGAATTCCACAAGATATTGTGACATATAATAAAAGAAAACCATCTGGTTCCGTTCTCCACTTTTCGAATAATAGCAACTTAAACTAATTTGCTCATTTTGGAATGGTCATTTTCGTATTTTGTCTACAAAAGTTGGCAAACTATTTCACACATTGAATATTTTTGGATGGCCATGCAAAACTGCTTGGCTTTTGCAATGCCCGGTAACCCCCATTCAAAAGTGCGTGAAGATCGGGCGATAATTACGAGCTGCTGACAATTTTGCAGTTTTTTTGGTCCATTTCAAACCCTAAATATATGGCGATCATCTCCAAAAAGAGTAGGCTTCTATTCTGACCCTCATCTGATCCCCATGCAAAATTTCGTAAGGATCGGGCCATAAATGCGATCTGTATATGATATCCTGATATCCTAACTACTTAGTTTTGTTAGCTGTAGAAATATTACCAAATGTTTAATTCAAAATGAAAATATGCCAAAAATATGACAAAATTGAAAAAATATGAGAAAATTTTACAAAATCAATATTTTCATCTTTAGAGAGATATTTTTATGCGATTTTTTAGACGTTGTTTCTTTCCTGCCAAGAGGTCATTCTGAATTAATGAGAACTGTCGAAATCAGTTCAGCCGTACTCGACATATAAGAGATCTTTCAAGCATATCTTCTTTGATAGACATATATATCGCACATATTTTGCTATATATCCGATTTGTTGGATGTTAACATCTATGTAATGATCAGAAGTAACCTTGTCATGGCTTTGTGATTTCGCCGGGATTTAAAATATTCGCGGTTTAATGAAAAATTTTGAATTTTTTCAACACAAAAGATATGGTCTATTTTACACGCTAAATATTATCCGATGACCACCCAAATTGGTAGGCTTCTTCCCCGCCCTAAACTCTAGCTACATGCAAAATTCCGCGTCGATTGGTCTATAATTGCGACCTGTATAGCTACTGCAAAATCCGACATTTTTTCAGTTTTTGGTCCATTTCGACCCCTAAATATTATGCGATCATCTCCAAAAGAAATAGGGTTCTATTCTGACATTAACCCCACCTACATTTTAAATTTCGTGAAGATCGGGCCATAATTGCGACCTGTAGAGTGATTACAAATTAACATGGACAGACGGACAGACGGACGGACGGACATACATAGCTAGATCGACTCAGCTCGGCGAGCTAGGAAGATCCATATATACTTTCCTATATGGGAAACCAATATTTCGAGGTGTTACATAAATTCTGGCCCAATCAAACTTATAATACCCCCAACACAAAGTGTTGTAGGGTATAAAAAACAGGATTAATGTTAATCAATATTATTAAACAAATCCACGAATAATATTAAAAAAGTATTGTTAAAAAATTCAGGATTGATATTAAGAAACGTTATTTTAAAATCCACGATTGATCAGAAAGTATATTATATAAAAATGCACGATCAATATTAAAAAAATATTATTCAAAAATCCATGATAAATATTAACTTTAATAACATATTAATTAACATGTTATTATTATTCTTAATTAATTTAATAACATACTATTTAAAAATCCACTTTTTTTCTATTTTTCAAAATTTACCTTTTATGCACTACAGTTATTGAAATTTAAAAACTCCAAACTTCCTTGCCATAAAGTCCTTTTAAGATATTTTATGAATGAAACATCCTCGAACTATGTCACGGAAATTCTTAAACTATATATTTTTTTAATCAACTCCCACCTGTGGTATTTCCTTTTCGTGCCCCTTAAATTCTGGCTTCGGCAATGCCATTGCCGAGCAACGGCAATTGGGCGCCACACATTTATCACGGCTACACATTTCGGCCTGTTTCAATTCCAATTCCTTGGGACGACGCGATGCCGCGAAAATCGTTGGCAAAATTGCCAATATTAATATCAGTTTTAACTTGTTCATTGTCACTTTGAAAACTGAAACGATTTCCCATGAAATCACATATATTTATTCTTTGTTCAGAGAAATTTGTTCCTACTTCCGATTTATATCAAGGCACACATTTTTTATCTTATCTCTGGCATCTCCACATTTGTTTTTTCGATATTGTTCAATTAATGAAAACATTTGTAATTTCATTTTACTCGATGCTGGCAAGTGAGTCATTTCATAGGCTTTGCAACTTATTGATGTTCTAAGAAAATAACTTGGAAATTCATTATTTGTGATTTGTGGAATTTTTTGTGATTTTTTCGCAAAAACATAATATAGTAACCTAAATAGAAGAAGCAAGTTATCATCTCTTCTACATTTTTCCTTGGAATCCGTTGACTTTGGGTATATAGTGTTTTCGGTAATATTGTAGATAAAAACACAAATAAGTAAAAAAAATCATTAAACGGGATCGTAACATTTGGAACAAATTTGGAAATTTTCAAAAAAATAAAATAAATAAATAAAGATATTTAGCAACTATAACAAGTAAAAAAGCTGTAAGTTCGGCCGGGCCGAACTTTGAATACCCTTCACCATTTGAAACGAATTTGGCAATTCTCAAAAACAATAAAATCCGTTAAAAATTCTGTTAAAATCTTAAAAATGCCGAATGTAGCTGTTATATTAAGGTTTATACGACAACATGAACCTGCATAGGTAAGACATTACAATATTCAAATGCGAAACTTGAATAAAAAATCGGTGAATAATGTAGCTAAAATCATCAAAATACCGAATATCGGTAGGAACCGTTATATTTGGGCTATACGAAGACGTGAACCTGTACAGACAATTTTCTGTCTTAGGCTGTAGAATCCATTACCAACTTCAAATACCAAATTCCGGTGAATAATGTCGCTAAAATCATCAATATACCGAATATTGGGTGGTACTGTTGTGTGGGGGCTATACGAAGACGTAGACCTGCGCAAACAATTTTCTTTCTAAGGCTGTAGTATATATTACGAACTTCAAATACCAAATTTGAAACAACTCCGGTGAATAATGTAGCTAAAATCATCAAAATACCGAATATCGGGAGGTACCGTTATATGGGGCTATACGAAGACGTGGATCGTCTCCTGTCGTAGGCTGTAGCATCCATTACGAACTTGAAATGCCAAATTTGAAACAATTCCGGTGAATAATGCCGATAAAATCATTAAGATATCGAATATCGGGAGGTACCGTTATATGGGGCTATACGAAGACGTGGACCTGCATAGACAATCTCCTGTCATAGGCTGTAGCATCCATTATGAACTTCATATACCGAATTTGAAAGAATTCCGGTTAATAATGTCGCTAAAATCAAAATACTGAATGTCGGGAGGTACCGTTATATGTGGGCTATACTAAAACGTGGATCTACATGACCCATGTTCAAAACAAAAAGTCCTGTTGACATAATACATATTTAAGTAAAATTGTATCAACCTTCTTCAATTCGTTCGGAAGCTAGAGTGATTTCCATAGACGGACGGTCATCGTTATATCGACATAGAGTTTTATGCTGTGGAGTCTAAAATGTATATTTCGCTCCCTATTACGGTGGAGGGTATAAAAATAATAGTTAAAATTTTAAAATTTATAAAGACAGGACATACTTGCAAAATATTATTTAAAAATTAAAAATCCATTAAAAAAATTGTATAAATTAAATAACCGCGAATTTTGCCACGGAAATTCTTAAACCAAAATAAATTCCTCTTTTTTCTAAAAGGTTTAATCGAACAGTGTAAGATTTGATTTTTGTCTTTTGTTTAGAACAGTCTCCAATTATTTTTTTAAGCTATAGTCACACCTTCCAAAAATATGCGGGATTATTTGTTACTTCAGTTCAATGATTAGTGTAAATCTATTACTGAGGAATGACCAGTATCTCTGACATTTAAGACACCACCTTTAATAAAACTGGTCTCAATAGGGGTGTTAAAAAGTATTTTTCTGAGCTAAACAACTTTTAACTTATAAAAATGCTTTCTTAAAAAATGCTCTCTTAAAAAATTGAGACCAAATAAAAATGGCGCCAATATGGTAGCGTGGCCGAGCGGTCTAAGGCGCTGGTTTAAGGCACCAGTCTCTTCGGAGGCGTGGGTTCGAATCCCACCGCTGCCAAGTAGATTTTTTATACTCTTTTACCTAAAAATAAAGGGGAGAATGAAAAAAAAGGAAAATGAAAAATCAAAGCTATTTATTTTTGTTCGAAGTTTAATTAACTTCTAAGATAGATTATGTGGGAAGGACCTATAAATAGTCTGAATTGCCTGTTATTTGGACCACAAAAGGAAGAAACCCACAAAAATTTGCAAAATTGGTCAACGTCTCAATATGACAAAGCCACCGACCGATCGTAGATTTTTATTAAGGTTTTTACAATGTAGTCCAAAGAAATCGTTTTTAATTTGTCATCCTACATTTGATTTTTTTTTTTGTGCTAGATAATGATCCCAAAAATGTTCCGCTGTGTAATTTTTTACTTTTTAACGTGTGTGTCAATTTCTTGGAATTTAATCAATAAAATTCTATACATATGGGTAGCGTGGCCGAGCGGTCTAAGGCGCTGGTTTAAGGCACCAGTCTCTTCGGAGGCGTGGGTTCGAATCCCACCGCTGCCAAGTGATTTTTTTCAGGAAAGATGATAGAGGACTAGTGCAGGGTTATTTTTGGAAATAGATAGAGAGATCAAATTAAAAAAGTGAATATAGTCGATGAAATAAAAAGGAATATATTTACCCAAAAACGCATACGTTTGGGCGCCATTTTAAAACATTGGTTTATATACAACCCAACGGATGAAATGATAGGATTAATTTTGTATGTGTGTGTGTATGGATTAATTTTCACTAACATTACATTATCTCATTCTATTAAAGCGCAATGGATGGATGGATATCAATTTGCATTAATCTCATATATCAGTTTTAAACCATTAATATCAATTAATTTTACTTGGATTCATTTTAGATATTTTCTCATATCGCATATTTTATCTAATATTTTATCATACATCATCATATGTTAAACTTATTATATTTTAAAGCAATATTTTTTCAATTAAACTCCACTACGTTTACAAAAACCGGTGGGATTCGAACCCACGCCTCCGAAGAGACTGGTGCCTTAAACCAGCGCCTTAGACCGCTCGGCCACGCTACCCTAAAATAACTCTGATTACGACATCTACTGTTTGGTTTCACACTCTATTTGTTTGTACAGTACAATTAACAATACATGAATTATTTAAATTAACAAAGCTCATACGGCTATAAGTAAGCATCTGGAATTTTTTCATACGGCGAAGACATCTTTGGCTGCATTTCCTAAGTGCCCTCATAAATATATGTTTCAAAATAGACATATATTTCCCTTCTTTAATAGTACAAAAAAATACAACTTGGCAGCGGTGGGATTCGAACCCACGCCTCCGAAGAGACTGGTGCCTTAAACCAGCGCCTTAGACCGCTCGGCCACGCTACCCACATAGACCGATTTTTATATAGTCTAAATCCAAGATCATTAGCCGAGTGCGATTTACTTTCTTCTTCAAAAATATTTAAATAATTTCCTAAATTTTCTTAATATTGGCCACAAATCAGCTTACTTTCAATCAGCGAACGGTACTGGATAATTTTTAGTGAGTAAATTTCATCACTAAGAAGTTGCAGACTTTCAGTAATTCATCTGTCAAAATTGTTCTCTTCATTCGATCTCATAAAATGGTCTTTTGGAGTATCGAATTTTGAAATAATTTGTACAAAAACTTACAAATGATTGGGTTATCGTGCATACCTATTTTCTAGCGGTACAATTTTCCAATTTAGGATGAATAAATAAGCGCTTCGCCGGGAATGGGCCAAAATACCGCGGAGCAACATTAGGGCAGCGTGTGACGGTTTCATTGGCCGTTTGGAGGCCATAATTCGTGCCAAAGGTGACCAATTCGAATAAATCTTAACTTATACTAAAATGTGATGCTATTTCCCACATTTGTTTGCTTTCATTCAATAAAATTAAAAAAAAATTAAAAAGTATGGCGTTTGACTTTGTTGCAGTTTTTTATCTCACCCTGTTTACACATGACCCTTAACATAGGAAGTCTAAAGGCGTAAAATCCCAAGATCTTTGCGACCAATTAACATGAGAGAAAACAAGCTAAAATTTGGAAAAATGCTAACTAGAAAATTTGGCGCTGTAAAAATTATTACAACCTTGGCCAGCTTCGGATTGGTTGATATGATATGTTTACAAAATGGCCGTTCCCGTGCTTTCTGGACAAACGTAGTTCTCTCAGAGGGAAGTTCACATCTCTCTCATTAATAGGTCCCACTAGCAAACAAAATTCCAATTAATTCAATTTCGCCAGTCCTGTACTACTTATGAGCCCTAATAGTACAAACTGTGTCCCTAAGTAATGCGAATGGAACCAATTCCCACTTTTTTTGCCAAGTAAACGAAAAGGCGACAGTTGCGAATAAATAAAAACCACCACCAAAAAAACCAACCAACCCACTGTATACTTGGGACTAGGGACTGTAAATCTGGAATTTTTAATTTCCTCAAATAGGATTGAAACTCAACATTATGTAATTGATTGTCATAAATTTTGAGATTTTGCGTGGGTAGCGTGGCCGAGCGGTCTAAGGCGCTGGTTTAAGGCACCAGTCTCTTCGGAGGCGTGGGTTCGAATCCCACCGCTGCCAAAATGATTTTTGGGTCTGTTAGTCTAAAAGTTCTTTAAAAGAGCCATTTCTAGAACAATACGGATTGAAATTCGAAAAGAAAGATATCCAGACTTCTATAATAAGAGAAGTACTTCAAATCAAAGCTAAATGATTCGCCATAGGTTTAAATGTATATATATCTCCCATATATCTTCAACTGATTTCGGGTTACCAAATAGCTAATATCAGTCCAAATGATCTGAATTTTATCACATCCGACCGAATTCAGTCCAAAAGCAAGTACATCAAATTTAATTTTATCCTATTTGGGGTTTT